TTATGAAAGTAAGAAACAGGAGCCTGACCCTAAGATAAAGAAAACTCATGTCAACATTCCTTTGGTTAGATTTACACTTCTTCCCTATCAAACCCATCACTAAAAGGCCATAAATTGGTAGGCTGGGCATAGTGGCACATGCCTATAGTCCCAGCACTCTGGGAAGGTGAGGCAGGAGGATCACAAGTTTGACCTCAGTTTGGGCAACATAGTGAGACCCGATCTCTTTTTTTTTTGTGGGGGCGGGGGTGTGTGTGTCTTTTTTTGAGACAGGATCTCCCTATGCAGTTCAAGCTGAACCTGAGCTCACTTTGTAGCCCAGGCTGGTCTCGAATTTGCTACGATCCTCCTACCTCAGCCTCCTGAGTGCTGGGATTACAGGCGTGCACCACCATACCTGGCCTGAGACCAATCTCAAAATAAAAAATTTTAAAAATGTTTTGGGTGTAGCTCAGTGCAAAGACCCTGTATTCAATCTTCAGTACAAAAAGCAAAAACAAAAAACCTATCACACACAATTAGGTCTGAAATTAACTACAAGATTTTATAATGGTGAATACATTGCTTATGTTACCTTTAACTTAGTTGCTCAGAGTACAAGAGATAGTCATTTAATTGGCCAAACAATATTAGCACACACCTTTCTTTTCAATGAATAAGAGAAAGTAGTTTAACTACAAGATTTTAAAATACATTTAAAAATTAAATGACTTTCGGATACCTGGTGGGTGAAAGAGGACATCACAATGGAGTTTTGAAACAGAGAAAGAAAAGCCCACAGCAAGAAGTTCCCTGAGGCTAACAAGTGGAAGCTGCCAGAGGGTAGGTGAGGCTATCCGTAAGGGTCATGGGCCCACCACGGGGGGCCTGACATACCCCTCCCAGCAAGCCATCAAGAGAAGCCAAAATTTTCACAGTTGCCACAAAAATCTCTATGCAAAATGACAAAAGTTTAAATCACTTTTGAATTGCATACCTATCCTCAAAACACTACTTAAGGATTACAACTTATGGGTCAGGCTGACAGAGACAACCAGTCAGGCTCAGCCTGCTGACACTTGGTCTGGGTACTCTATGGTCATCCTAGCTCAGTAATACCAAACTTTTAAGAGCTTTTAATGAAAACAAATAGCCCATTGCAGCACGTGTGCCATACATTTGCCACTACTGTTTACCTGTTTTCAATCTTGTCCCCACCCAGGCATAGGCAGGAGCGAGATAAGCTACCAGTCTACTCACCAGTCTCCTCCAGGCCCTGATCACCTGGAAGGCTGTTTGCAGTCTCTCCCTTTCTGTCTTTTTGTTTGTTTGTTTGTTTTTTGTTTTTTTGTTTTTCTTCCGGTACCAGGAATCGAACTCACAACCTTGCACTTGCCAGGCAGGCGCTGTGCCGGTGAGCTAAATCCCCAGCCCTCTCCCTTTCTGTCTTGGCCCCCATTACACAGGCCAACTCCGGCTTACCTGGATCATGTCCAGTAATCATACCCTTCCCATCCTTGGAGACAGCCTGCACACAGTTCATCCAGGCCCTACCTGCTGCCCTGACCACACTATCTACTCATCCTCTCACCACCGCCCACTGACCTCACTCTGATGGTGTATCACCAGAGTCCCCAGGGTTGACCTGGTGTCCACAACAGCTTTATGAGGCTACACAGAACATCCCCCAGGGCTATCTGAGCACTTAATGATTTAGGAAACCCAGTCTTTAAGTGATATTGCTGGGCAATGATTTGGGGAAAGGACAGATGATAGCTGCTAAGAAGACCTGAGGTACAAGGGCTGCTCTAGATGTGCTCATACCTAAAGGCTGTGGACCTCTTCTGGCCTAGATCTGATATGTTCCCCAAGTACAACAAGGAGGGAGAGAACCTGTAACTAACAGCTCCCTACTACTATCACCCCCAAACCACCCAGCAGAAGACAGGAAGATGAAAAACTACCACCTATTCAGAGCTTTGATTTAAAAAGAATAGTGTATGGGGTAACTGGTGAGTATAAAATGCTCAACCACTGTGAAGAAACAAAGTTTACACTCAGCACATGACCAGCCCTAAGCCTCTGTCAAAGGACAGGAGCATATGTGTCCACACAGAGGCTTATACTCAACTGCTCTTAAAAGCATTATTCCTTTTTTGTTAAGACAAGGTCTTACTGTGTACTTCAGACTGGCCTTGAGTTCACTCTATAGCCCAGGCTGGCCCTGAACTCGTAGTGATCCTCCTGCCTCAGCTTCCCAAGTGCTGGGGTTACAGGCGTGTACTACCATGCTTGGCTTGAAAGCATTATTCCTAACAGCCCAAAACAAGTGACTATCACCAGGACAAACACAATGTAGGCAGCATATGTTGCAACACCCTGAATAAGAAAAACAGGTGAGGAGGGACCCTGAGTTTAATCCCTAGTACTGTGAAGGAAGGAAGAGAGAGAAATAGACAGAAAAGAGGGAGGGAAGGAAAGGAAAGAAGAAAGGGAGGGAAGAAAGGGCAAACAAGCTGCAATGAGAGGATGGGGTTGATGGTGAGATAGGGGTGGGAGGGGACTGAGGTGGGGGCCATAGTCTTGACAAGAACCAAATGCAGTATGTCAGAATTGACTTGTGTACCTGAAGTCTATACATCTTACAGTAGGTAAATATATTCTCAAAAACAGCCTACAACCGGGCGTGGTGGTGCACACCTCTACCCCCAGCACTTGATAGGCTGAGGTAGGAGGATTATTCCAAGACCGAGGCCAGCCTGGACTACATAATGAGTTCAAGGCCAGCCTGAACTAGACAGTGAGACCCTGTCTCAAAAAAATAAATAAATATAATTTTAAAAGCCTGCAAACAAACACTGAACTCTAGATAATGATCAGTGTGGGTAAATTGTTTAGGGGAAAGTGTACAACAGTACTGATTTGAGATGCACCCTACTAAAAAGATGGATTGGTGGACAAACAGAAAAACAGATGGACGTGACAAAGCAGACATAGCACACTGCTGTCTACAGGATATAGGTATAAATATATATGTGGCCATTTATTATGTGATTTTTAAAATTTTTCATCATGAAGGACAGAAGCTTCCTAACCTGTACCTAAATGGTTGAGTCTGTTCATCTGGAAGATGGGGAGTGGAAAGCAAAGGACAGGAAGGAGAAGGCAAAACCCAGGTGTCCAGGGATTTGAGAAGCAGTGGGGTGGAAGAGGGCAGTGGTCACAGGGCAGCACTGGAAGGGCAGGGGCAGGAGAAATGGGGTTACTGACCTCCACTTCTAATGGCCGAGATCCCTTGGCAGAAGTCTTCAAAACTGATCACGCCGAGCCCACTGGGGTCTAAGTACTGGGTCAAGTCCGTTACCTGCAAGTGCCAAACAAGAACATGTTACTCATGGCCTTCAAGTTAGGGCATACTGTGCACGGAGCCCTTTGCCACATAGCAGCTCACTTGAAAGGTGCAGCGGTGAAGTAAGAGCCACTAAGTCCTCCGATCCAAGAAGCAGAAGTGGCCACCAAAGCCACTATACACAGCTCCAGGAAGAGGAAGGGTGGCATCCTGGGAAGAAAGTATCAATGAACACAATGATCCTGAATCACAGAACAAAGGTGAGGGCTCTCAAAGTCAAAAGCCAAGCTTGAGCAGGAAGATTAGAAATTTTAACTTTCAGGGATTGTCCCAGTAAACACCTAGAATATTTATGTGAAGTATAAATGCACACCACCATCCAGATGGGCTTTCCCACTTGTTATAGGTCCTTAATGAAGCAGACAGAACCTTGATATCAAACTCACAAAAAGGCCGAGCATGGTGGTACACACCTGTAATCCTAGCACTCGGGAGGCTGAGGCAGGAGGACTGTTGTGAGTTTGAGGCCAGCCTGGGCTACAAAGTGAGCTCAAGACCAGCCTGAACTTAATAGCAAGACTCTGTGTCAAAAACACCAAAAAAAAACTCACAAAAAGTAAGGTAATTTACTTATACATGTTAGGGCAGATGTAACTCTTGAGAAAGAAGACACAGTTATGTTACTAAAGATAAACTGGATCTCATCAAAATCTAAAACCTCTGCTTCAAAAAAGAGCATAATAAAACCAACAGACAAAGAGAAAGTACTTCCAAATCATGTATATAATAGAGGACTTGTACCTACAATATATAAAGAAATCTTAAAATTTAATAAGAATTTTTTGTGCTGGGCATGGTGTTGCATGCCTGTAATCCCAGCACTTGGGAGGCTGAGGGAGAAGGATTGTTGCAACTTTGAGGCCATCCTGGACTACATACCAAGACCTTGCCTCAAAAAACAAAAATTAAAAACAAAAAATATATATATTTTTCTTTTTGTGGTGGTAGGGATTGAACCTGGAGCCTCAGGCATGCTAGGCAAGAGCTACATCCCCAGCTCAAGAGATTAACTCTTTTTTAAATGAGTAAAAGATTTAAACAGATACTTCATTTAAAAAAACATACAATCCTAGCCCTCAGGTGACTGACGCAGGACTAGGCCAGCCTGAGCCACACAGTAAATTCAAGGCCAGCCTGAACTGCTAACAAGTCCTTGTCTCAAAAACACAAAAGTAAATAAACATACAAACACACAAAGAGCTAGGTATGTGCCTGTATTCCCAGCTACTCAGAAGGCTAGGGCAAGAGAATCATATGAGTGATTCGAAGAGTCCAAGACTAGCGTGGGCAACATAGCAAGATCCTACCTCAAAATAAAAAGTTATAAGCTTTGGTGAGGTCATGGAGCAACTGTGTTTCCAACCTTAGTGGTACTGCAAAATGGACAGGTCAAATGCGAAACCATCAGGCAGGCATTTTGCAGTACCTTAGTGGTACTGCAAAATGGACAGGCCAACTGAGAAACCAAACTTGTCTTTAACAAGTTCTTGATGGGGCCATAAATCCTATGTCCCACTGCCAAGTGACTAAACCACCAGTGATAGATGCTTGACTGTCCCATCAGGCAGCACGGGACAGTCCCATCAGGTGGTACAAGCCGCTGCATGAGACAGTCATGCATGTACCACCTGTGGTTCAAGCCAGCAGGAATGTATTAAAAAGTTAAATAAAAGCTTACCACATATACAGCAACTCCACTCTGTGACATCTGCCCAAGAGAAAGAAAAAACTTGTCTGCACAAAACTACATCTTCACATGTTTAGAGCAGCATTTTCCATAATAGCCAAAAAGTAGAAAAAACTCAAATGCCCACCAACTGAGAAATGGGTAAATAAAATGTGCATCTATGGAGAGGAATATAATTCAACCATAAAAAGGACTAGAGGCCGGGCACGGTGGCGCATGCCTGTAATCCCAGCACACAGAAGGATCATTTTGAGTTCGAGGCTAGCATGAGCTACAAAGTGAGCTCAAGACCAGTCTGAACTGCATAGCGAGACCCTGTCTCAAAAAGACAAAAAAAAAGAACTGGAGCACTAAGAATATACAACAATACTCAAAACACATAACCTCCAAATATCATGCTCAGTGAAAAAAAGCAAGATATAAAACACTACAAGTTACATTATTTCATATACCGGAAATTTTTAGAAAACAAACTATAAATTTGTAAAAAAAACAAAAACAAAAAACAAAAAGCAAGAGCTGTATACATAGCTCAGTGTTAGAGCACTTGCCTAGTATGTGTGGCCCTAGGCTCAATCTTCAGTACTATAAAAAAAAAAGTGATTATCAATAAAAAGCAAACCTGGGGCCGGGGATATAGTTCAGTGGCACAAGCACCTGCCTGGCAAGCACAAGGTCCTGAGTTTGATTCCCGGTACCAAAATATATAAATAAAAAAAAAGCAGATCTGTGGCTGCCTGGGATTGCAGGACAGTGACCCACTGGAGCACCTTCTTTGGCTGTGGAAATGTAAAACTACCACTGTGATGACTGCACAATTCTATAAACTTACTATAAACCTGTGGATAGCATATTTACAGTGCATAAACTCTAATTTGAGTACTTCTTATAATTGTAGATTGAACAAAGGTAACTTGTATTAATCTCTTGATTAAAATATTTATACAAGTTTTCCTTTTCCTGAAGGCAAACTCTCTCTATACATAAAGAACTCAAAAATATCAACCCCCCCCACAAAAAAATAAAAGACTCAATCAAAATATGGGCAAGTGAAATGAACAGCCATTTCACAGAAGTACAACTGGACAAGAAATACAAAAAGAAATGCTCAACTTCGCTCACTGGCTGTTAGACAAATGCAAATGGACACAACACTGATATTCCATATTAGTCCTGAAAGAATGGCTATTGTCAAGTAAGTAATCAACTAATAACAAACTCTGATGAAGCTGTGGGGGAAAAACGGACTCCTTTATACTGCTGGAGGGAATGTAAAGTGGTATAACCATAAATCAATATGAAGATTCCTACACCAATCATGCTGGCACACACCTGCAGTCGCACCACTCAGGAGGCTGAGGCAGAAGGTCAGCCACAAGTTCGACACCAGCCTGGGCTATATAGCGTGTTCAAGGCCAGTCTGAATTACAGAGTAAGACCTTGTCTTAAAAAAAAAAAAAAATTCCATTTGGCCCAGCTATTCTCTTCTCTCTGTATCTTCCCAAAAGAGTTCAAGGCATCATATATTACAGTGATACATTCATACCTATGTTTATATCAGCACAACTCATAATAGCTAAATTTTGGAATCAGTCTATATATCCATCAACAGATGAATGGATAAAGAATATGTAGTATTTACACACAATGGAGTAATACTCTGCCATTAAAGAAAGACAAAGGAATTTTTTGTAGGAAAATGGATGCATCATGCTGGGTGTGATGGCGCACACCTATAATTCCAGCACTCAGAAGGCTGAGGCAGGAGGCTGAGGCAGGAGGATTCCCATGAGTAGGAAGACAGATCTTTCTCAAAGGGGAAGGGGATCAAGAGATAGATGAAGGGTACAGGGAGGGAAGAGAAGGAAAGGGGGATTTAAAAAGGAATTAAAGTGTATGATGTATATATACTAACTCTCTACAAGGTGTGTAAACACATACTACAAATATTCTAATGTACTAATAAAAATCTAAAATATTGTGGTAGATTAACTAATGGTCAACTTGTAACACCCAACTGAACTGAATCCGCATGGTCCTTGGTGTGGAAGGCCCATCTGACGATTGTTGCCAACAGCATAAAAGCAGAACCGGAGGTGAAGAAGGTGTGCTGTTCATTCCCCTAGAGAAGCTTGCTGTGCTGTGTTCTCATCATCAGAGGAGCGCAGGTGCTCGCTGTCGCTGAGGATGGCTGCAGTTCTTTTTGGTCCTTACCTTGAGTATTGCTTCCTGGCTCCAGTGCAGATCTCTCAGCCTGCTGGCACAGATCCTTAATCCTGCTGGCACAGACTTTCTAGCTTCCACCACTGACCTTTGGGCCTTCCCAGTGCAGATCCTTCATGCAGACTTGCATGAGACATTGTTGTCAGTTTTTGGCCTCTAGTTGGGACTAGTTGAGAGCATTGCCATGGGCTCTAGGTCTTCAACTGGACTCATGCAGGACATTGCAATGGGATCCAGGCTTTTCTTTGGGTCTCTAGTATATGGATGGATATACTGCACTCTTATGCATTTGATTCTTTGGGTGAATATTATAAAATAATGTTATAAATTATGTGTCCTGTATTAAATTTTTTCCCTTGTAAACCCTTGCTACAATAAATATGGACAAGTCATAGCTCAGCAGCACAGTGCCTGCCTGGCAAGCACAAGGTCCTGAGTTTGGGTACTTGGGCAACCCATTCGGGCCACCCCCTCAAAAAAAAAATCTGGCAAAAAAGATTCAAGAGCAAGTAGCAAAACATCCAAGTAAGGCAAATGGATCTCCAAAGTCCTTGAAGAGAATGTCAAAGCAAAGGTATAGAATAAACACTGGACTACACTCAAGAAAAGCCCTCAGGTAAAAAAGATAACTACCAGTTGGAAGAATATACCAGGTACTTAAAAACACCAACTCAGAGCCCTGAAAGACCAACCCCAGAACTGGTGAATTTCCTGGACCACAAAGATATAAATTTTTAGCCAGGCATGGTGGACTGCATAGTGAAACTCTGTCTCAAAAAGACAAAAATATTTTTTAAATATATAATTTTTTTTTGTACCAGGAATGGAATTTAGGACCTTGCGCTTGCCAGGCAGGCACTTGTGCCACTGAGCCATATCCCTGGCCCCTTTATTTTTTTTTTTTTTTTGGTTTTTCTCCGGTACCGGGAACCGAACTCACGACCTTGCGCTTGCCAGGCAGGCACTTTTGCCGCTGAGCTAAATCCCCAGCCCCTCCCTGGCCCCTTTATATAAATTTTTAAACTTTTAAATAGCTATATGAAAA